AAATTAAAAACTAAAATTAAATAATAATTTATAATGCTTATATAAAGAAAAATTCCCTTAAAAGCAATTATTAGTTGCACTTAATACAAAGAACTGAAACCCATTTCTATCTGAATAACTACATGATCCACTTTCCATTTCAGGTCATAAATCAAGGTATGATATACTAAATTTAATTAAGCTTAAAAGTAATCTAGTTTATCTCACTAAAAAACAAGTCATGAAAATTGAATTATAGGCAATTTAGAATTCTCTCTCTACTGGTTCCTCCACAACAACTACAATTATTATACAAAGATTTACCCCTATCTTTTTTTTTTTTTTTTTTTTTTTTTGTGGTGCTAGGGATTGATCCCAGGGCCTTGTGCATTCGAGGCAAGCACTCTACCACTGAGCTATATCCCCAATCCTTACCCCTACTTTTTGACAAAACAAGATTCTTTTTTTTCCAGGAGTTAATTAAAAGATGATTCAAACTAATCATTATAGTGTCATTTTTATAAAATTTCTGTACAAGATAAATAGAGAAGAACATACACCACCAAAATATTTACAGTGCAATATTCCTGGATGAGATTTCAGATTAGTTTTCATTTCTTATTTTAGTTATAGGTGGACACGTCTTTATTTTACTTTATGTGGTGCTGAGGACTGAACCCAGTGCCCATGTGTACTAGGTGAGTGCTCTACCTCTGAGCCACAATTCCAGCCCATTAATATGTTTTTACAAATGAGTATGCACTACCTACACAAATTTTCTTCTGTTATTTTAAAAATAAAACATGAAAGCCTGAAAAATCAGTAAGGGTAAATAACATGAGAATCTTAAAAAGTTATGTCTTTATTTTTCCAAGTCAAAAGCACATAGGTTAAAAATCTGATTTTTGTATTTTGAAAAAATAAATAAGCTTCCACACATTACTGCTAAGAATTCAAAAGTTCTTCAGCTTTAAAAATAACCATGTTTTCAAATGCAAGGACACTTTTGAGTCAACTAACAAATGGATCTATAGACATTTGTTACTGGATTCAAGTATTGTTGAACTTCCTTAGATTGATAACCATACTAAGGTTATGTAAGAGAATGTCCTTGGTTCTTAGAAAATACACACTAAAGTTCTAAAGGACAAAGGGAAAAGTGAATACAACTTACTTTCAAACAACTCAGCAAAAAAAATAGTAAATAGAATAAATGTTAAAGTAAACCTTTTTTTGGCTGTGCTGGAGATCCAGAGCCTAGCACATGCTAAGCATGCTCTCTACCACTGAGCTAAACCTGGCAGCCAGTGAAAGCAAATTCTGAATATTAATGGTAAATGTGGGTATAGTAGTATAAAAGTTGTTTATACAATTTTTAAATTTTTTTTAAATGTAAAGTTATTTCTAAATTAAAAAAAAAATTGGGAGCTGGCACTGTGGCTCAGCAGTAGCACACTTGACAGGCATGTGTGAGGCACTGGGTTCAATTCTCAGCACCACATATAAAAATAATAAAGGTTATTAACAACTAAAAAAAAATTTTTTTTAATTTAACTGAAAAAAAGTAATAGGAAAAAAGGTATATTAGAAACTGTCCTAACAACAACAACAACAACAACAAAAAAACACTTAAGATCATGCTGAACCCCAACTACAAGCAAGAAAACATAGCAACACATTGGGCCAACAGTAGACTTTAAGTCAGCACTATCCAAGAAAATTAAATTTTTAGTATTAAATTTTCTAGGGGCTAGGGTTGTGGCTCAGAGACAGAGCACTCACCTAGCGCGTGTGAGGCCCTGGGTTCCATCCTCAGCACCAAATAAATAAAATATAAGTATTGTGTCCAACTACAAAAATAAAGAAATATTTTTTAAAAAAAAAATTCTAATAGCCATATTAGAGTTAAAAGAAACTGGTGAAATTAATTTTCATACACTTAGCCAAATGTCTAAAATATTATCATTTCAATGTAATCAATATAAAATGTGAGATGCTTTACAACTTTCATACTAAATCTTCAAAACCAGATATTTTACACTTAACAGTGTATCTCAATTCAGAAGCTGTTTGTTATACCATATAGGAAATATTCCACCTGCATTTAGATTTCATAAATGTACAGTTAAACTAGATTTACAAGACAAAATTGTTTCAAAGTTAAAAAGTTTTCCAATCCGTTTTTTATATGTAAACTTCTTAAATTAAAATTAAGAAAAAAGAAAAATTCATTTCTCAGCCACACTAGCCACAATTATCTCAATAGGTAATGGCTACAATATAGGAAAGCCTAACTTTAGATGAGAATAAAACAAATTCCCTCTACAAAAGGAGTTCATAAAACAGCTTCTATTATCAACAGATTTTTAACAGTCATAACAGAAACACTACCAACATACCTCTCCCAAATACAATTAGATATTCCCTATTCCACCTTTCAGAAATACCAACACAAAGCCTTCTCTTCTGTGCCTCAGTTGTCATACTGTCATTTGAGCTTAATTTGAGTTTCCTGAAAATTGGCAATCAAGTGGCCCTCTTATTTTCAGATGTGCCAGAACAAGTTCGAGCTCTAAGACGTCTAAAATGTCGGTTGTATTTAGCATACAGGTTTCAACGCAAAAACTGTTTCTTGATTTCCAAACAGGAGCAGGCACACAGGAGAAGGTCTCGGATTTAACAGAGGAAGTGACCCTGAGTACAGAGGGTGGAGGGGTTTCTTTTTAAACAGGTGTAAGAGATTAATTTAGTCAACACCAAGCAACACGAAAAGATTCGCCAATCAATAATTCTGTGCCAAGCAACTTGATCAGGGATTTGGCCAGAATCCCTTTGGCTAATCTCAATACGGGCCTCCCAAAGACATCCTGATTTAGGCCATTCTCATCTAAATTAAGGCTTAAGCAATCCTGACAGCAAATAAAATCAAATTATATACATGTGAATAAAATTCTGCCAGTCTGACAAAAGAATAAAGATAACTTATTAAGTGGGCAAAAACAGTTCCATAGGATAAAAGTTACCATAAACTAGTATTTACAAAGCATTTTGCATAAGTTGATATCTTATTTTGTTTAGTCAGACTTTTCAATTGAACACAGTGTGGCTAGCAAATTTAATCCACAACAACCAATTCTATTATTGTTTTTTCGTTCTCCATAGGCATGTTAATATTTTTTAAAGTATTTTTATATTTTTATGTGGTGCTGAGGATCAAACCGAGTACTAGGCATGCACCCTACCACAGAGCTACAACACCAGCTCCAATATTTTTAAGTTGATAAATCCTCTCTTATGAATTCATTAGTGCCTGGAGTCTCTCATACCACTGGAAAGTGAGGTAAGAGTATGAACAATGGTTTCTGACATCCTGCCTCACTAGTTAAGTTCCATCTTGCATACAAAATCCTTTTTTCCCCTTTCCCTTCCTGTTCTACTTATTTGTTGCTTTTCATGAGACATCTTATGGGGATCCACTTTGTGGAGACTAAAATAAAAGCCTGTAAATATCAAAATTGACTATTTCTACTTAAAACTTAATTCCCCACCCCCCAGTCAAAAAGCTTAAGACGAATACAAACGTTTTTAAGCCATTCCTTAAGGGATTTTTTCTTATTAGATTTCTTTTGCCGTGGAAATATTTACACATTCTATAGAAGTGAATAATACATTCTAAATTGGGGTTTTTATTAACAAGTTCGCAGGCAATGCCTAGTTTCAACTCCAGTCTCACGTTTCTGAAATTAGCGCAACACGCAGAAACCAACAGTAATCTTAAATATAGCGAACAAGCACAAGGAATAAACTACATAGAAACACACATTCCAGTGCAACAGTTCAAGCACTATTTTGAGAAAAAAATAAAAATAAAGTCCCACGTCTACTTCAGCAACAGAGGGATCCTCTAAGGAGGCTCAAGGCAGACCGCGCTGCAGAACGCCAATCCACACCGATTCTGGCCACCCTGCCTTTTCCAGTGGCCTGAACTCCCGCCAACCACCGGGGAGCCTGGCCACTTCACCACCCAGCAGCGGAAAAAAAAAAAAAAATTTACAAGGTTACCCCCGATGCGAAACGTCCACTGACATTCTGACACTTAAAGAGTAGCATTTAAATAGAGTTTTCACAACGCCTTCAAAGGATACTTTCCTCTCTGGCTAAGACCCCACCCTTTCCCCCCTACTTAAAAGAGGCAAACACCAAATCCAGAGGCAGGTTTTCCATAGTTCATTAAACTTGAGCAACCGGCTGTATTGGAAGGCTCCGGTTCCGGGCCCGCAGCCCGCGCGCTGGCACCGGCTCCATCCGCAGCCAGGAGAGCAAAGGCACCCCGCGGCCGGTGCGGGCGCCTCTCGGGACGCGCCCGGCAAAGCGACTGCTAGCCAAGAGCCGAGGCTGCGGAGACGCATCCCACAACAAAGTCCACCTGGCCAACAAAGGCTTAGCCTGCCGTCTGCAGGTGGGAGTCCCGTGACCAGAGGCCCTGCCGCTGTGGGAGAGAGTGAACCGGGTGCGTGCGGGACCGCCTCCGAGGGGACCCAGACCCCGAGGTGCGAGATGCGGAGAGGCTGTGGCAAGTGCCCCAAGAACGCCGGCGGGGCCGCAGGGCGCTCGCAGAGACGAGCATTTTCCCGAGGGAGGGTGG